TTTTGTATTAACATTTCCGCAATTTGTGAATGTGGCTTCGTCAGTCCATAAAATAGTCTGTACAAACGAACCATTTGAATCTTGCATCTGATGCAAAAACCACTCACAGAACTGTACGCGTTTTTCAAAGTCTCGTTCATGTAGCTTTTGATGTACTGACAGGTGATACGGATGAAAGTTCTTCGAATCAAGAATACGCACAACGCTGCTTTGACAAATGTCCATACCACGCGAAATCTGCCGTGTACTGATGTGCGGATTATGGGCAATAGCTGCTAAGGTTGAAATACGACATACTTCGTTATTTACAATTTTACGATACCTTTTACGTTTCTGTACATTAAAATTGCCATGTTCTTTGAGTCTTTGACTAAGCCTTAAGAAGGTAGAATGCGATGGCTGATTTCGATCAGGATACTTAGCTTGGTACAAGATCTTAGCTCTTACAGCATTTTCTTCACACGCACCATAAACAATTATCATATCGTATTTTTCACTGTTGCTGAACATCGTAATAAAAATGTAGCACCTTTCTCAATACGACTTTAACGCTTACTGAGATACTAAATAGGCATTTCGTGTTGATGATTTCTAACATTCAACAGGGAACTTGTTTACAGACATGACCTGCCGTCGTAAACAATGTCACGTTGACTGAGCGTATTTCCTAATAGAAGATTATTAATTTTAAGATATCTCAGTAATTATTCATTTGAAGTCCCACTTTGTGTAGTCCTTTTTTACGGAAAATTTGATGATTTATCCGAATTTGAACAAAAATGTTAGACATTCCATTTAAAAAACTGAAGGTGACTGTAATATCTCAATAAAAAAGAAAGGTAATAAAAAACAGACTCGAGCACTGTATGCCCCCTGGATACCATGCAACCGATCAATAAGCGTTAGCAAACGAAAAGCTGAAAAATAGGCTACTGGTCGATAAAGTGTTAGGATAGACCAGAGCAAAAAACATCAAAATGTTATTGATAAATATTAGAAAAGTCACGTGACAACCCTAGTGCCTTAATTATCAAAGAACGCCGTGAGAATATCACCGAAAACAGTTTCCCAAGGAACGACGATTGCAAGGTCTCGTTGATCCGTGGCAGAGGTTTCAACAAAAGGAAACGATCTCTGATTCCGACGAAACAAGCTCCTTCCTCGACATAAAAACAGATAAAGTAGAAAGCACGAAATGGCGAGCGTGGTAGGAATTGGGAAGAATCACCCTTTGTAGAATCGAGGCATGAGAATAACGTGAGCCTAATTAAACGTCTTTAATTAGTAGGAATAATCCAGCTTCATGGCGTGTTGCGTAACGAACAGCACGTTGATAAGCCTTCGTCCAGAATTATAATAACTCCGCAAAGGGTGGTCGCTGTAGCTTAATTAAGAACTTACATCTCGCCCGAAGCTTTGTTCGTTCTCCACCATCGCGCCCTTTGTTATATTTCATATCACAAACCATTGGACAATCGAGATTCTAATACATCAATTTTTACGTCTCGTATCCATTGAGCTATATAAAACATCTGGAGTGTGAATGAATGGGGGAGGGGGGGGGGGTACATTCGCCGACGAAGAGGAACCGTGAAGGAATCTCTTTCTCTTTCTAGGTGTATAATGTATTTTTTCTGAATCTGAACTCGGACGCGTATACAGAATGTCCCAAAACTAGTGTAAAATACACCAATACCTCGCTTTGCGTCGTTTCGTTTTGCGTTTTTTCGAAGTTACGTCGCTGCTTAATTAGTACTAATTTTCACTGTGCGTCGTTAGATTTTCGAGGTT